TCAGTCTTTCTCAGTCTCATTGATGCTAACAAGGACAGAAGGCTGCTCTGAGGGTGAGGAGGGGGAGGAAGAGGAGGGTGACGAGGGTGAGGAGGGTGAGGAGGCTGGGGACCGTGAGGCGTGTCGGTGTGTGGCCTCCGCTTGTGCGACGGAAAGATCAATCCATGTCAGCGACACACACACCTGACGAGCCGTGTCTCCGGAGCGCCCCCTCAGAGACGGGAGCCACGCGGCAGGACTGGGGTTTAGTGCAATGAAACCACAGCAACCAGTGAGAGAGACCAGAGAGAGAGACCAGAGAGTGAGACTAGAGAGAGAGAGACAGATACCAGAGAGAGAGACCAGAGAGTGAGACAAGAGAGAGAGAGACAGATACCAGAGAGAGAGACCAGAGAGTGAGACAAGAGACCAGAGAGAGAGAGACACCAGAGAGAGAGAGACACCAGAGAGAGACCAGAGAGAGACCAGAGAGAGACCAGAGAGAGACCAGATGAGACTCTGCTGAGGTGCTGGTGACAGACTTACAAGGCGTGTCACTCCCTCACACACTTACAATGCAGTTCATGAATGAGTTCCTCCCTCTCCTCCCGCTCCTCTCTCTTTGTTTTGGACATATTAACATTTTCTGAGTGACAAGAACAACACAACAACTGGTTCTGTGTGTGTCTCTCTCTGGTCTCTCTCTGGTCTCTCTCTGGTCTCTCTCTCTCTGTCTCTCTCTCTGGTCTCTCTCCGGTCTCTCTCTGGTCTCTCTCTCTCTGGTCTCTCTCCGGTCTCTCTCCAGTCTCTCTCCGGTCTCTCTCTGGTCTCTCTCTAGTCTCTCTCTAGTCTCAGCCTCAGTCCTGGGTCTACAGCCTCAGTCCTGGATCTACAGTCTCAGTCCTGGGTCTACAGCCTCAGTCCTGGGTCTACAGCCTCAGTCCTGGATCTACAGCCTCAGTCCTGGGTCTACAGCCTCAGTCCTGGGTCTACAGCCTCAGTCCTGGGTCTACAGCCTCAGTCCTGGGTCTACAGCCTCAGTCCTGGGTCTACAGCCTCAGTCCTGGGTCTACAGCCTCAGTCCTGGGTCTACAGCCTCAGTCCTGGGTCTACAGCCTCAGTCCTGGGTCTACAGCCTCAGTCCTGGATCTACAGCCTCAGTCCTGGGTCTACAGCCTCAGTCCTGGGTCTACAGCCTCAGTCCTGGGTCTACAGCCTCAGTCCTGGGTCTACAGCCTCAGTCCTGGGTCTATAAAATCAACACATTTTCTTTTTGACATTTCTCTGATCTCAGTCTCAGGGACCGGTCCGGACTCTTATCCCGGACTAGAAGCGGCCGATGGAGCAGCGACCACATGATACACATCGTCATGGCGACTGACTCACTGCCTTTGTGTGCAGTGATTGTTGTGTGTGTGTGTGTGTGTGTGTGTCACTATTGTGTAATCTGGAGATGTCTATTTTAGCGGTGACTTACACAACCGTGTTCTGGCTCCGGAGCGGCCGCAGATAAATCCACTCTTATGTAAACAGAGCAGTCAGCAGCAAGTCCGGACCGAAGACCCGGGCTCTGGATCCAGGTCGGAACAGGGCCTTCTCTATGTGTGTGTGTGTGTGTGTAGGTTTGCTCCAGGTGCTCCGGTTTCCTCTACCGTTCTAAACATGTACAATAGGAACAGTCTTCCAGCTCTGGTCCTGAAGAGCAACAACACATCCGCGGTTAATGACCCACTCAAAACACATCCTCTCTCCCTTCTCCTCTACTCTCTCTCTACTCTCTCCCTCTCCTCTCTCTACTCTCTCTCTACTCTCTCTCCCTCTCCTCTCCTCTCTCTACTCTCTCTCTCCTCTCTCTCCCTCTCCTCTCCTCTCTCTACTCTCTCCTCTCCTCTTCCTTATCTCTCCCCTCTCTACTCCTCTCTCCACCCTCTCCTCTACTCTTTCTACTCTCTCCCCTCACTACTCTTTCCTCTCCTCTCTCTTCCCTCGCTCTCCTCTCTCTTCCCTCGCTCTCCTCTCTCTTCCCTCTCTCTCCTCTCTCTTCCCTCTCTCTCCTCTCTCATCCCTCCTCTCATCTCTCATCTCTCCTCTCTCATCTCTCATCTCTCCTCTCTCCTGCATTAACAACACACACAGACAGACATTCCTTGCTTTCATACATAGATTTCACTGTATATACTGTATATATCTCTATAACTGACTTTACATAAACATACATATACATACAGTATATATACATATAAAGTCTCCCGTTAGCATGACTGTTAGCATGGCTGTTAGCATGATTGTTAGCATGGCTGTTAGCATGACTGTTAGCATGACTGTTAGCATGGCTGTTAGCATGGCTGTTAGCATGGCTGTTAGCATGGCTGTTAGCATGGCTGTTAGCATGGCTGTTAGCATGGCTGTTAGCATGGCTGTTAGCATGGCTGTTAGCATGGCTGTTAGCATGACTGGTCTGAATGAGAGACCTTCATTCACGACTCTCGTCCAATCAGGACAGAGCAGGAGTCCAGTGTCCAGACATGACCTGGTCCAGAACCCTGTAAACAATGTTCTTGTGTTATATATAAATAAATATATAAAAAGTGTTTACTCGTCTGGGGCTGATTGGAATCTACAGCGAGAGTCCTTCAGACGCTCGAGAGCAGCACTCAGCAATCAGCGTCGCTCTGTCAGGTCCAGGCACATGGACCAGAGCCAGCAGCAGACCTGGGCAGACCTGGGCACACTGCGGCCCGCGGGCCACATCCGGTCCATTCTCTAACCTCAAACCGGTCATCAATCCAAAATGTTGGTGATGAAAATAGTAATAATAAATGTGCGTATTGGACCTATGCTAGCTTAGCTCCCGGGAGGAAGAACTAGAAGTTGTACGATGGCAGAGACCAGTGTGAAAATAAACAAAATAGTACAACAAATAACTAAAAGAGATCGAAATATTCCAAACATACAAATAAAAAGACAAAAAGGAGAAAAGTATAAAAGTTCCATTGATGAATATATATTTTAAAAAGTACAAGAAGAGGATCAGTAATGTGAAAGAACTGTTGAGTTGAAATCAGTAGTTTCTCTACTTCCGGGTCAAGACTATTGGTCCTCGCAACTGTCAATCATTCTGGTGACACGTGCTCGTCCAATAAGACCAGAGAGTTTGTTCAAAAAGCAGAGAGGGCGGTTCTTTCCTAAAATTTGGGGAAATCCTCCTGTAAACCTTTAAAGAACTGAAATACTGCAAATACTATGAGACTTAGAAGAATAAAAACTCTAATAAGAGCAAAACAATTCAAAACATACGATTAAAAAAATAGTCCCATTATAAAAGACAGAAAAAAGTACAACTCAAAAGTACAAATACTTAACAATAATACTAATAATAATACAATTTCTTGATAATGCAGACTTTCCACAAAACCTCAAAATACTTAAATACTACAATACTTCAAATACTACAAGAGATATGCAAAACAAAACACCTTAAAGTGGACGGGAGGTGAAAGAAAAGGATCGAAGATAGGAGATTGAATAAAAACTACAAAAACTAAACTCTCTCTGTTCCTGTTTCAGTCTGAGAAGTTGGGTCTGACCCGGAGCGGCCCTGGTTCTGTCGACGATGGTTTCAGGCACAAAACGCTGCCATAATAATAATACAACAAAAGGTTTTCTTTCTGTTGTTTTGATTGGTCTGGATTGAAATGGTCTCTCTCTGGTCTCTCTCTCTGGCCTCTCTCTGGTCTCTCTCTCTGGTCTCTCTCTGGTCTCTCTCTGGTCTCTCTCTCTAGTCTCTCACTGGTCTCTCTCTGGTCTCTTTCTGGTCTCTCTCACTGGTCTCTCTCTGGTCTCTCTCTGGTCTCTCTCTCTGGTCTCTCTCTGGTCTCTCTCTCTGGCCTCTCTCTGGTCTCTCTCTCTGGTCTCTCTCTGGTCTCTCTCTGGTCTCTCTCTGGTCTCTCTCTCTGGTCTCTCTCTGGTCTCTCTCTCTGGCCTCTCTCTGGTCTCTCTCTCTGGTCTCTCACTGGTCTCTCACTGGTCTCTCTCTGGTCTCTCTCTCTGGTCTCTCTCTGGTCTCTCTCTCTGGCCTCTCTCTGGTCTCTCTCTCTGGTCTCTCTCTGGTCTCTCTCTGGTCTCTCTCTGGCCTCTCTCTGGCCTCTCTCTGGTCTCTTCTCTGGTCAGAGAAGCAGGGGGAGCTCTCAGCACCAGAAAGACGGAACAACAATGTTAAATAGAAACACAGCACAACAAAGCAACCCAGGAAAACCTCAAATCAGCAACATGTGACCACTACAAAAGAGAAAGTCACTTCCTGGACTGGGACGAGGCGGGAATCGTAGGACCAGAAGACCATAAAGAGGAAAGGTGGATATGAGAGGCGACCATCAACCGAGACGAGGGGGCCTTCACCTTGTCTCACACTTGGGACTCACTTCTCCAGAGACCACAGGGGGGCGCGGTCAGTATGAGGGTGTGTGGTCAGTATGAGGGTGTGTGGGCAGTCTGAGGGGCGTGGTCAGTCGGAGGAGGTGTGGTCAGTCGGAGGGGGCCTGGTCAGTCTGAGGGGCTTGGTCAGTTGGAGGGGGTGTGGTCAGTTGGAAGGGCGTGGCCAGTCGGAGGGAGCATGGTCAGTCAGAGGGGGCGTGGTCAGTCGGAGGGGTGTGGTCAGTCTGAGGGGCGTGGTCAGTATGAGGTGGTGTGGTTAGTCTGAGGGGCGTGGTCAGTATGAGAGGGTGTGGTCAGTCTGAGGGGCGTGGTCAGTCATGGGGGCGTGGTCGGTATGAGGGGGTGTGGTCAGTCTGAGGGGGCATGGTCAGTCAGAGGGGGCGTGGTCGGTTAGAGGGGGCGTGGTCATTTGAAGGGGGCGTTGTCAGTCTGAGGGGGCGTAGTCAGTCGGAGGGGGTGTGGTCAGTCTCAGGGTGCATGGTCAGTCTGAGGGTGTGGTCAATCAGAGGGGGCGTGGTCAGTCTGAGGGGTGTGGTCAGTCAGAGGGGGCGGGGTCAACTTAAGCTTAGCGACTTTAGCTTAGCCTGAATTCTGTTGTATTCTGTCTTATATCAAACTTTTCTAAACAGATTCTGACACTGGGGCGACAGTGGCTCAGCTGTTAGAGAATTGGCCTTTGAGCCTGAAGGTTGTGGGTTTGAGCCCACCTGCCCCTGTCTGCTGTCGTTGCGTCCTTGGGCAAGACACATTACCCCACTTTGCTTCATGCCTTGATGTGATACTGTATATGTACTGTATATGAATATTCATCAAACCAAATGTATAGCATATCTTCTTCTCCACTGTCACTGGTGCAGAGAAACCAAAACCAGCCACAAGTCACCACAAAGTAACACTGCAGTTTGGACACGACACACACACAGAGAGAAGTGAACTCACAGAGGGCCTCCCAGCGGTGTGATCCTCCTCCTCTGGTGTCTATGTGCTCCTCCTCCTCCTCTGGTCTCTGGATCTTCTCTGCAGACCAGGTGGACGGACACCAGGGGGAGGAGTCTCTCTGGGGTCGATCCTCTTCAAAACACTTCCTGCAGAGACATTAAAAGTACATGAGAAAAGACCACAAGGGACACACACAAACACACACACACAAACCCACACACACTATGTTTCTGATCTCTCTGTGGTCTCACTCTGGTCTCTCTCTGCTTAATCTCCCTTAATCTCCCTGGTCTCTCACTGGCCTCTCACTGGTCTCTCTCTGGTCTCTCTCTGGTCTCTCTCTGGTCTCTCACTGGTCTCTCTCTGGTCTCTCACTGGCCTCTCTCTGGTCTCTCTCTGGTCTCTCTCTGGTCTCTCTCTGGTCTCTCTCTGGTCTCTCTCTGGCCTCTCTCTCTGGTCTCTCTCTGGTCTCTCTCTCTGGTCTCTCTCAAGTCTCTCTCTGGTCTCTCACTGGTCTCTCTCTGGTCTCCCTCTGGTCTCTCTCTAGTCTCCCTCTGGTCTCCCTCTGGTCTCTCTCTAGTCTCTCTCTGGTCTCTCTCTCGGGTCTCACTCCAGTCTCTCTCTCTGGTCTGTCCCTCTGGTCTCTCTCTGGTCTCTCTCTGGTCTCTCTCTGGTCTCTCTCTCTGGTCTCTCTCTAGTCTCTCTCTCTAGTCTCTCTCTGGTCTCTCTCTCTGGTCTGTCCCTCTGGTCTCTCTCTGGTCTCTCTCTCTAGTCTCTCTCTAGTCTCTCTCTGGTCTCTCGGGTCTCACTCCAGTCTCTCTCTCTGCCCTATCTCTCTCTAGTCTCTCCCGCTGGTCTCTCTCTCTGGTCTCTCTCTCTGGTCTCTCTCTAGTCTCTCTCTAGTCTCTCACTCCAGTCTCTCTCCCTGCTTAATCTCTCTACAGACTCTCTCTCTCTCTAGTCTCTCTCAGACAATCATAAAACCTCGCAACTAGAATCAGTCCAAAACCACTGAGCCAAAGTTGAGAACTTTGAGAAAAGACATTAGTTTTTTTCATTTTAGTTTCATGAATCTGAGCCCAAAGTCGTTGGCGTCTCTCTCTCTCTTCACCCGAGGCCTCTCCACTGATCCGCTCTCTCAAAAGTCAAACGTCCACATGGCTGCAGCCGAGAGCAGCACGAGTCAAGGAGGAGCACAGTAACATTTACCGTCTCTCACAGCCATTAAAATGCAAAACATACACAAATATTTAACCGCGCGGTCAAACGGCAGAGGCCTTCGTGCGAATGTCTGGAGGCGAAAAAGCAAATATTAAAAAGACAATGAAGCGGAGTCAAAGATTATCCAGAACTGAGAAGAACCGAGAGCTCGGACAAACCGCCGTGTTTTAAATATAAAACCATAAACTATATATTCTGAGAGAGATTAGAGCGATGGCTTTAACAGGTCTGTGTGTGTAGACTATAGCTGCTGCTGAACGCCTGAAAGGTCTCGTCAATCCAAGAGGAGTTTGATAGAAAGAGGTTAAACTCATTCTTTTGGGCAGTGATATAATCTGGATTAGGAACGGTACATTTCTGCTTTGAGAATGTTCTGCTAAGACATGGTTTTGGAAAAATAGACAAATTGGGTTGTTATTTAGACAGGTTTAAGAAGGCTCGGTCTCTCTCTGGTCTCTCTTTGGTCTCTCTCTGGTCTCTCTTTGGTCTCTCTCTGGTCTCTCTCTAGTCTCTCTCTGGTCTCTCTTTGGTCTCTCTCTGGTCTCTCTCTGGTCTCTCTCTAGTCTCTCTCTGGTCTCTCTTTGGTCTCTCTTTGGTTTCTCTCTGGTATCTCTTTGGTCTCTTTGGTCTCTCTTTGGTCTCTCTCTCTCTGGTCTCTCTCTCTGGTCTCTCTCGTCTTTCTAGTCTCTCTCTGGTCTCTCTCTGGGCTCTCCTTGGTCTCTCTTTGGTCTCTCTCTGGTCTCTCTCTGGTCTCTCTCTTGTCTCCTCAGGGTTTAGACTCGGTCCTCAGGGTTCAGACTCGGTCCTCACGGTTCAGACTCGGTCCTCAGGGTTCAGACTCGGCCCTCAGGGTTCAGACTCGGTCCTCAGGGTTCAGACTCGGCCCTCAGGGTTCAGACTTGGTCCTCAGGGTTCAGACTGGAGCCCAGTGGACGGGAGACCAGAGAAAAGGCTGTAGCAGTGGCAGTGCAGGAGGATTCTGTGGTGGTTTGTTCGAGAGAGGGGCAGAAACTGTTAAAAAGTAAATAAATAAGTTGTAGATGTAGTTCATGAGTGGTCTGAACGCTGCAGTCCAAGATATCCCTGACGAGGAGAGACTTTTCACTTACAGACACTAAACTTTGAGCCAAAAGGACAAACTAAAGAAGGCTTAATGCGATAAACACCTTCATAACTGCAGCTATAACTTCAGCCGACGGTAAATAGCACAGAACTAAATCTGGCGTTGATCTTCTGTGTGAGCAGCGCCGGAATCACATTTATACAGACGGATTATGTAGCGCAGAGCTTTAAAGGTCTGTGGCCATTCATAGGGTTCTCTGGTCTCTCTCTCTGGCCTCTCTCTCTGGTCTCTCTCTCTGGTCTCTCTCTCTGGTCTCTCTCTCTCTCTCTCTCTGGTCTCTCTCTCTCTCTCTGGCCTCTCTCTGGTGTCTCTGTAGTTTGTCTCTGGTCCATCTATTGTCTCTCTCTGCTGTTGATCTGGCCTCTCTAAGGGCTCTCTCTGGTCTCTCTCTGGTCTGTCTCTGGTCTCTCTCTGATCTCTCTCTCTCTGGTCTCTCTCAGGTCTCTCTCTGGTCTCTCTCTGGTCTCTCTCTGGCCTCTCTCTGGCCTCTCTCTCTGGCCTCTCTCTTTCTGGTCTCTCTCTGGCCTCTCTCTGGCCTCTCTCTGGTCTCTCTCTGGTCTCTCTCTGGTCTCTCTCTGGTCTCTCTCTGGCCTCTCTCTGGTCTCTCTCTGGTCTCTCTCTGGCCTCTCTCTGGCCTCTCTCTGGCCTCTCTCTCTGGCCTCTCTCTGGTCTCTCTCTGGTCTCTCTCTGGTCTCTCTCTGGTCTCTCTCTGGCCTCTCTCTGGTCTCTCTCTGGTCTCTCTCTGGCCTCTCTCTTTCTGGTCTATGGTTTATGGATGCTGCTATGACGGCACTATGTTGGAATGGACTGGTCCTGGGCAGAGAGAGAGAGAGAGAGACCTGAGAGAGACCAGAAAGAGAGAGAAGAAGAAAAGAGCCGTGACCCGCGGAGTCGTCCGTCACTCGCTGCTGTGTGTAACTAATGTGTTGTTGTGCGTCTCTGAGGACGAGCGAGTGGACACTGGAGGCACGTTAGCTTCTGCTGCTCTATCATTAGCCCAGTCCACCACAGGACAGGCCATCGCTCAGCCAGACCCCCGAGAGAGAGAGAGAGAGAGAGAGAGGGAGAGGGAGAGAGAGAGAGAGAGAGAGAGAGAGAGAGAGAGAGGGAGAGGGAGAGAGAGAGAGAGAGAGAGAGAGAGGGAGAGAGAGGGAGAGGGAGAGAGAGAGAGAGAGAGAGAGAGAGGACAGGGGAGAGAGTGTGTGTGTGTGCGTGCTAAGACATATTAGGTGTTATTTTTGACCATTAAAACTGGTAATGAGACTGTTAACTTCCATTTACAGAGAGAGAGAGACCAGAGAGAGAGAGACCAGAGAGAGAGAGACCAGAGAGAGAGAGACCAGAGAGACACCAGAGAGAGAGACCAGAGAGAGAGAGACCAGAGAGAGAGAGAGAGAGAGACCAGAGAGAGAGAGACCAGAGAGACACCAGAGAGAGAGACCAGAGAGAGAGAGACCAGAGAGAGAGAGACCAGAGAGAGACCAGAGAGATCTCTAACCCAGTAAAGCATAATAAAGAAGCTAGTGTAAAATCTCTAACATTAGCATCATAAAGATGTTAGCATCATAGAGACGTTAGCATTATAAAGACGTTAGCATCGTAAAGACGTTAGCATTGTAGAGACGTTAGCATCGTAAAGACGTTAGCATCATAAAGATGTTAGCATCATAGAGACGTTAGCATCATAGAGACGTTAGCATCATAGAGATGTTAGCCTCATAGAGACGTTAGCATCATAGAGACGTTAGCATCATAGAGACGTTAGCATCATAGAGACGTTAGCATCATAGAGACGTTAGCATCATAGAGACGTTAGCATCGTAAAGACGTTAGCATTGTAGAGACGTTAGCATCGTAAAGACGTTAGCATCGTAAAGACGTTAGCATCATAGAGACCTTAGCATCATAGAGACGTTAGCATCATAGAGACGTTAGCATCATAGAGACGTTAGCATCATAGAGACGTTAGCATCATAGAGACGTTAGCATCATAGAGACGTTAGCATCATAGAGACGTTAGCATCATAGAGACGTTAGCATCATAGAGACGTTAGCATCATAGAGACGTTAGCATCGTAAAGACGTTAGCATCACGTTAGCATCATAGAGACGTTAGCATCATAAGACGTTAGCACATAAAGTTAGCATCATAGAGACGTTAGCATCATAGAGACGTTAGCATCATAGAGACGTTAGCATCATAGAGACGTTAGCATCATAGAGACGTTAGCATCATAGAGACGTTAGCATCATAGAGACGTTAGCATCATAGAGACGTTAGCATCATAGAGACGTTAGCATCATAGAGACGTTAGCATCATAGAGACGTTAGCATCATAGAGACGTTAGCATCATAGAGACGTTAGCATCATAGAGACGTTAGCATCATAGAGACGTTAGCATCATAGAGACGTTAGCATCATAGAGACGTTAGCATCATAGAGACGTTAGCATCATAGAGACGTTAGCATCATAGAGACGTTAGCATCATAGAGACGTTAGCATCATAGAGACGTTAGCATCATAGAGACGTTAGCATCATAGAGACGTTAGCATCATAGAGACGTTAGCATCATAGAGACGTTAGCATCATAGAGACGTTAGCATCATAGAGACGTTAGCATCATAGAGACGTTAGCATCATAGAGACGTTAGCATCATAGAGACGTTAGCATCATAGAGACGTTAGCATCATAGAGACGTTAGCATCATAGAGACGTTAGCATCATAGAGACGTTAGCATCATAGAGACGTTAGCATCATAGAGACGTTAGCATCATAGAGACGTTAGCATCATAGAGACGTTAGCATCATAGAGACGTTAGCATCATAGAGACGTTAGCATCATAGAGACGTTAGCATCATAGAGACGTTAGCATCATAGAGACGTTAGCATCATAGAGACGTTAGCATCATAGAGACGTTAGCATCATAGAGAGAGCATCGTTAGCATCATAGAGACGTTAGCATCATAGAGACGTTAGCATCATAGAGACGTTAGCATCATAGAGACGTTAGCATCATAGAGACGTTAGCATCATAGAGACGTTAGCATCATAGAGACGTTAGCATCATAGAGACGTTAGCATCATAGAGACGTTAGCATCATAGAGACGTTAGCATCATAGAGACGTTAGCATCATAGAGACGTTAGTAGCATCATAGAGACGTTAGCATCATAGAGACGTTAGCATCATAGAGACGTTAGCATCATAGAGACGTTAGCATCATAGAGACGTTAGCATCATAGAGACGTTAGCATCATAGAGACGTTAGCATCATAGAGACGTTAGCATCATAGAGACGTTAGCATCGTTATAGAGACGTTAGCATCATAGAGACGTTAGCATAGAGACGTTAGCATAGAGACGTTAGCATCATAGAGACGTAGCATCATAGAGACGTTAGCATCATAGAGACGTTAGCATCATTGAGAGAGACATAGAGAGTTAGCATCATAGAGACGTTAGCATCATAGAGACGTTAGCATCATAGAGACGTTAGCATCATAGAGCACGTTAGCATAGAGACGTTAGCATCATAGAGACGTTAGCATCATAGAGACGTTAGCATCATAGAGACGTTAGCATCATAGAGAGACGTTAGCATCATAGAGACGTTAGCATCATAGAGACGTTAGCATCATAGAGACGTTAGCATCATAGAGACGTTAGCATCATAGAGACGTTAGCATCATAGAGACGTTAGCATCATAGAGACGTTAGCATCATAGAGACGTTAGCATCATAGAGACGTTAGCATCATAGAGACGTTAGCATCATAGAGACGTTAGCATCATAGAGACGTTAGCATCATAGAGACGTTAGCATCATAGAGACGTTAGCATCATAGAGACGTTAGCATCATAGAGACGTTAGCATCATAGAGACGTTAGCATCATAGAGACGTTAGCATCATAGAGACGTTAGCATCATAGAGACGAGCTCTAAGACGTTAGCATCATAGAGACGTTAGCATCATAGAGACGTTAGCATCATAGAGACGTTAGCATCATAGAGACGTTAGCATCATAGAGACGTTAGCATCATAGAGAGACGTTAGCATCATAGAGACGTTAGCATCATAGAGACGTTAGCATCATAGAGACGTTAGCATCATAGAGACGTTAGCATCATAGAGACGTTAGCATCATAGAGACGTTAGCATCATAGAGACGTTAGCATCATAGAGACGTTAGCATCATAGAGACGTTAGCATCATAGAGATCATAGAGTTAGCATCATAGAGACGTTAGCATCATAGACGATCGTTAGCATCATAGAGACGTTAGCATCATAGAGACGTTAGCATCATAGAGACGTTAGCATCATAGAGACGTTAGCATCATAGAGACGTTAGCATCATAGAGACGTTAGCATCATAGAGACGTTAGCATCATAGAGATGTTAGCATCATAGAGACGTTAGCATCAGGACTTGCATCATAGAGACGTTAGCATCATAGAGATGTTAGCATCATAGAGACGTTAGCATCATAGAGACGTTAGCATCATAGAGACGTTAGCATCATAGAGACGTTAGCATCATAGAGACGTTAGCATCATAGAGATGTTAGCATCATAGAGACGTTAGCATCATAGAGACGTTAGCATCATAGAGACGTTAGCATCATAGAGATGTTAGCATCATAGAGACGTTGTTAGCATAGCATCATAGAGACGTTAGCATCATAGAGAGTAGATTAGCATCATAGAGACGTTAGCATCATAGAGACGTTAGCATCATAGAGACGTTAGCATCATAGAGCATCATAGAGATGTTAGCATCATAGAGACGTTAGCATCATAGAGACGTTAGCATCATAGAGACGTTAGCATCATAGAGACGTTAGCATCATAGAGACGTTAGCATCATAGAGACGTTAGCATCATAGAGACGTTAGCATCGTAAAGACGTTAGCATCATAGAGACGTTAGCATCATAGAGACGTTAGCATCATAGAGACGTTAGCATCGTAAAGACGTTAGCATCATAGAGACGTTAGCATCATAGAGACGTTAGCATCATAGAGACGTTAGCATCATAGAGACGTTAGCATCATAGAGACGTTAGCATCATAGAGACGTTAGCATCACAGAGACCTTAGCATCATAGAGACGTTAGCATCATAGAGACGTTAGCATCATAGAGATGTTAGCATCATAGAGATGTTAGCATCATAGAGACGTTAGCATCATAGAGACGTTAGCATCATAGAGATGTTAGCATCATAGAGACGTTAGCATCATAGAGACGTTAGCATCATAGAGACGTTAGCATCACAGAGACGTTAGCATCATAGAGACGTTAGCATCATAGAGACGTTAGCATCATAGAGACGTTAGCATCATAGAGACGTTAGCATCATAGAGACGTTAGCATCATAGAGACGTTAGCATCATAGAGACGTTAGCATCATAGAGACGTTAGCATCATAGAGACGTTAGCAGTGCGAGGCTCAGAGACACGTGCTTCTTTATGGCTCCTTTGCTCTGATTGTGGACTTTCTGCACGTCTCGTCTCACATGCACTGAATGAAAGAAGCCAGTGACTGCAGCTGCTGTGGCCTCTCTCCCCCTCTGCCTCACCCTCCACCCCCCTCCTCACCCCTCTGCCTCACCCTCCACCCCCCTCCTCACCCCTCTGCCTCACCCTCCACCCCCCTCCTCACCCTCTGCCTCACCCTCCACCCCCCTCCTCACCCCTCTGCCTCACCCTCCACCCCCCTCCTCACCCCTCTGCCTCACCCTCCACCCCCCTCCTCACCCCTCTGCCTCACCCTCCACCCCCCTCCTCACCCCTCTGCCTCACCCTCCACCCCCCTCCTCACCCCTCTGCCTCACCCTCCACCCCCCTCCTCACCCCTCTGCCTCACCCTCCACCCCCCTCCTCACCCCTCTGCCTCACCCTCCACCCCCCTCCTCACCCCTCTGCATCACCCCAGCCTCCTGCAGCTCATAAACACCTCCATTACCCCTCCTTCCCAGTCTCTCTCTGTGTATGTGTACGTGCTGGTGTGTGTGTGTGTGTGTGTGTGTGTGTGTGTGTGTGTGTGTGTGTGTGTATATATGTGTGTGCGCCTGTTTACTGCTGAGTTTACCCAGTTTAGTCATGGGAACCGGCGGAAAGCCTGGTCTAAGGAGCGTGATGTCAGAGCAGACTTGGGGACAGAGGAGGCCGGAGGGTGATTCATTTTAATGTCAGAAAACTCTCTCTCTCTCTCTCCCTCTCTCTCCTCCCCCCCCCCCCTCTCTCTCTCTCTCTCTCCCCCCCCCCCTCTCTCTCCCTCCCTCTCTCTCCCTCCCCCCTCTCTCTCTCTCTCTCTCCCCCCCCTCTCTCTCTCCCTCCCTCTCTCTCCTCCCCCCTCTCTCTCTCCCTCCCTCTCTCTCCTCCCCCCCTCTCTCTCTCTCCTCTCTCTCTCCCCCCCCCCCTCTCTCTCCCTCCCTCTCTCTCCTCCCCCCCTCTCTCTCTCTCTCTCTCATCCCCCCCCTCTCTCTCTCTCCCTCCCTCTCTCTCCTCCCCCCCTCTCTCTCTCTCTCTCTCTCCCCCCCCCTCTCTCTCCCTCCCTCTCTCTCCTCCCCCCCCCCTCTCTCTCTCTCTCTCCCCCCCCTCTCTCTCTCCCTCCCTCTCTCTCCTCCCCCCCTATCTCTCTCTCCCCTCTCTCTCCCCCCCCCCCCTCTCTCTCTCTCCCTCTCTCTCCTCCCCCCCTCTCTCTCTCTCTCTCTCTCCCCCCCCCCCTCTCTCTCCCTCCCTCTCTCTCCTCCCCCCCTCTCTCTCTCTCCTCAGGCAAACATACTGAGATTTTGGACATTTTGGGGAAGGCAAGACCCTATTTGCAGTGAGTTTTACACTTGTCGACATATCTCCAAGTCCAGGTGAAGTCTCAGGAGAACAGCACAGACTGTATTAAAGGTCCAAGTCCAGTTCTCTGCCAGGTCTTTCATGGTACGGCACTAAATGGTATAAAAACACAATCTATGGCTCATTTCGAAGTTTTGTGATTGGTTGAGAGACTGGTTCTGCTTTGGCATGGTGACAAATCAAGGCAGAGAGACCAGAGAGAGACCAGAATGAGACCAGAATGAGACCAGAGAGAGACCAAAGAGAGGCTTGAGAGAGACTAAAGAGAGACCAGAATGAGACCAGAGAGAGACCAGAGAGAGACCAGAGAGAAACTAGAGAGACTGTTTGGTTGAGGTTTCAAATTTTCAAATTTTCTGTCCCTTGTTAGACTAAAGACACGAGAGAGAGACCAGAAAGAGACCAGAGAGAGACCAGGGGGAGACTAGATAAAGAAGTAGAGAAAGAGAGAGACCGGAGTGAGGCGGAAGCTGGGGTTTGTCTAAGGTAAATAAGACTTGAAACTGGTTCTTTCCTTCATTCTGACTGATGCCAAGTCTCTGTCTGCTTTGCATTATTCTCATATCAAACTATTCTGCTTTATTTACCTTTTATAGAAACTTCAACCCAACACAACTCGTCTCGTGCCACAAGAGTCCAGGCCGAGTCCAAATACACAGCTCTGAGTCTAGTCCCTTAGTCTTGGTCCATTGTTGCAAGTGATGAAAACAGTGAGTCCGGGTTTTGTTGAAGGGTCAAAGGTAAAGGACCAGAGTGAGCCCTAACAGCTCCGGACAGAGTCATGTCTCTTCTGCTTCTACAGAATCATAATCACAGTGTTCCTCGTTTCCAGACCCAAAATCTGCCTCATCTCGTCTGGTTGAATTAACATTTCACGCTCAGCTGGATCCTCATTCCTGCTTCTAATCATCTCAGAGTTAATTTCTGCCTCTGTGATCCTCAGTCTGTGGGAGGCAGGAGCAGGAGAACACCCAGCCCTTTCAAACTCAGGCAACAAAAGAGAGAGACCCTCATCTGACGAGAGAGAGACGCAGTAATGTCTTCTTCTGTGCTCGCTGGAGGCCGGAGGTACTTTAGTCTCGTGGTGTCTTGGTGTTAGCTGTTGGTCCATATGAAAGAATAAATATTAGTATTATGCTCCTGTCACTGTCCTGTTAGAGTATGATGTCATTGTTCCAGTGTGATGTCATCGTTCCACTGTGATGTCATCGTTCCAGTGTGATGTCATTGTTCCAGTGTGATGTCCCACGACTGTTTTCTGGCTTTTAAAACAAATGTGCAGCAGTACCTGTTTTATTGCAGCGATTAGTGAGATCCAGAGACGGAACAGAGAGATGGAGACTAGAGAGAGAAAAGACTAAGACCAGAGAGAGACCAGAGAGACAAGAGAGAGACCAGAGAGAGAGAGACCAGAGAGAGAGAGAGAGAACAGAGAGAAAGACCAGAAAGAGCAAACAGAAAGGGAGACCAACAAGAGACTACAGAGAGACCAGAAAGAGACGAGAGAGAGACCAGAGAGAGACCAGAGAGACCAGAGAGAGAGACCAGAGAGAGACCAGAGAGAGAGACCAGAGAGAGACCAGAGAGAGAGACCAGAGAGAGACCAGATAGAGACCAGAGAGAGAGACCAGAAAGACCAGAGAGAGACCAGAGAAAAAAACAGAGTGAGACTAGAGAAATAGAGAACAGACAGAGACCAGCAAGAGACCATAGAGAGACTAGAGCGAGAACGGAGAGAGAGACAGTGATAGAGACAGAATAAAGACAAAGCAGAGAGAGACAGAGAGAGAGACAGAGAGAGGGAGGCTGGAGTTGGTTTGAGGTCAAGGACAGCTCTCGCAGGCATCATCTGCAGCTCGTATCGATTCAGTCGCTGTGGTTTCAAATGACAAACAACACCATCGTCCTGAGACTCGCTTCGATGGCGTTCTATAATTTCTAATCTCGTTTACAGAGAATGGCCCCAAACTGCAGCCGAGGAGCACAGAGCCTCCGCCATCCGCCTCTAATAGTTTGGAGGTGAGCGTCATTACCCAAACGAGGCCCTCGGATCACAACACTCCCATTAGCGACCTGTCCCTGTGATCCCTCATTTACCCCAGAACTGTGGCCAGGCGTCCTCCAGGGGCTGCGGGCCACCATCTACCACATCTGTGCTCCGGCTGCCCCTACAGAGAGAGAGAGGCCAGAGAGAGAGAGAGAGAGAGACCAGAGAGACCAGAGAGAGAGACCAGAGCGAGAGAGAGAGAGGCCAGAGAGAGAGAGGCCAGAGAGACCAGAGAGGCCAGAGAGAGAGACCAGAGAGAGAGACAGAGAGGCCAGAGAGAGAGAGAGAGAGAGAGGCCAGAGAGAGAGACCAGAGAGAGAGAGAGAGAGGCCAGAGAGAGAGAGAGAGACCAGAGAGGCCAGAGAGAGAGACCAGAGAGAGAGAGAGAGACCAGAGAGAGAGTGCTACCAGAGAGAGAGGCCAGAGAGAGGAGACACAAGAGAGAGGCCAGAAAGAGCAAAGAGAAAGGGAGACCAGAGAGAGAGAAAAGAAAAAGACCAGAGAGAGACCAGAGAGATTAGATAAACCAGAGAACTCAGAGAGAGAGAGAGAGGAATCAAAGTTTTGACTAATTCCTCATCACTTTTTGCAGTGTACTGTCCTTTATGAACACTACAACAATTATGTCTTACTAAGTTTCCCTTAAGATTTCCCTTCAGGCAAAGTGGAAACATCTCTGGAGACAAGCAGATGGTGAGCCCCCCCATCAGGACCATTACAGCAGGCCCTCCATAACCCTGCAGGTGTTCTCTGCCTTCCATAACCCTGCAGGTACTCTCTGCCTCCCATAACCCTGCAGGTGTTCTCTCTCCCTCCCATAACCCTGCAGGTGCTCTCTCTCCCTCTCATAACCCTGCAGGTACTCTCGGCCTTCCATAACCCTGCAGGTGCTCTCTCTCTTCTATAACTCTGCAGGTGCTCTCTGCCTCCCATAATCCTGCAGGTGAACTCTCTGCCTCCCATAACCATGCATGTGTTCTCTCTCCCTCCCATAACCCTGCAGGTACTCTCTGCCTCCCATAACCATGCATGTGTTCTCTCTCCCTCCCATAACCCTGCAGGTACTCTCTGCCTCCCATAACCCTGCAGTTTCTCCATCTCACTTCCATAACCCTGCAGGTGCTCTCTCCCCTCCATAACCCTGCAGGTAATCTCTCTCACTTGCATAACCCTGCAGGTGCTATCTCTCACTTGCATAACCCTGCAGGTACTCTCTGCCGTCCATAACCCTGCAGGTACTCTCTGCCTTCCATAACCCTGCAGGTATTCTCTCTCCCTCGCATAACCCTACAGGTGTTCTCTCTCCCTCCCATAACCCTACAGGTGTTCTCTCTCCCTCCCATAACCCTGCAGTTACTCTCTCTCACTTACATATCCCTGCAGTTACTCTCTCTCACTTCCATAACCCTGCAGGTGCTCTCTTTCCCCTCCATAACCCTGCAGGTGTTCTCTGGCTGTGGTCACGATCAATGGCCCCTCACAGTGTCCGCGAGGGGGTCCTAGTTCCATGGGGCCTTTAATAATTCAGATGTGGCCCTGTCATATTCTCTATTAGCGCGGCCGACCCGGGCGCGGCTGATTGATTACTAATTAGATTAATTGCAGCCTTTTGGAAAATGAGCAGAAAGTAATAGACTTGTTCCAGGAGAAAGAGCGGCGAGGAGAAGCTGCAGGAAAAATGAAGCAGGATTTACTTTCCACTGTTTTGTTAAATTAATTTTTGTGACTGATCTGGGAGAGGATCTGCTGCTGACGAGGCTCAGAGGAAATATCACATTGTTTCTGCTCACAGGGGTTTGATCAGAGCTCGTCTGAGAGAGCGGAACGAAAAGAAGACTAAAGTAAAAGTACTCTACTCTACTCTACTCTACTCTACTCTACTCTACTCTAACCCAGCAGGTACTCTCTGCCTCCCATAACCCTGCAGGTGCTTGGACGGAGCTTCAGCGGGACATTAAGCTAATGTGTACAGTGCCCGAGGCTGCCAGCAGAGGGCAGTGTGGAGCAGCAGCTGAGTGTGATTGACAGATGCCGTTGCCGTTGGCGACAGTGGGAGTTTTCATGTCTTCCAGTCTGAACCTCCGCTTTAGCTTCATTTGTGTTGCTGAGAAAGTAGATGATATATAACGTGCCATGGTCGCTCAATACCATCAACGCTGCTGTTGTGCTTTGACTAAAACCATCAACGGTTTATAGTATTCACACATTCACACGTATTTTTCCTGCTGTAAATTTCCGCTCGGATATAAAAGAACCACTTTGGACCTTCTGAACCCCTAAATTATTTGAGTCGTGATCAAATGTTTTCGCCCTTTAATAAATCAAAGTATTGGCTCCGAATTATAACGGAAAATTACTACTTTAAAATAATAATTGGTGTAAAGAGCCTCCCGTCATTTTAAAAACACATTTATTGGCGTCACTTCTCGGGGGTTTGGGGAGCAGACACCGATTGGCAGCTCTCCCGGCAACGTCTGAATCAGAAAACCCCAAAATACAAATGAAAACCTGCCACGCCACGGCTAGAAAGCAGTTTTTATCCGTTTTTATTGACAACGACAACGCACAATCCTCCGACTCTACACAAACCTGGACCGAAAACCACCATACAGGAAGTTTGGCTCGAGACTTGTGGGAAAAAAATAGTTATTATAAATTAGTGTTGACTTTCCGCTCTCCAAAACGAAGGCCCGTGTTGGCAACGAGAGAGATGGATCTAATTGGCGGGTCTTCGGACCGATCGTTACCCGCCCACACACACGCAGCAGAAATAGCCTCGGACTCTTCAGAGAGACTAGAGCCTCCAAAACAAGCCACATGTACACAATCTGAATCCACCGCCTCTGCATGGCCATGGCTGCACACCCTGTCAGACCTCTGAAGCTAAGCAGGGCAGGGCCTGGTTAGTGCTGTGATGGGAGACCTCTGGGAGCCACAGTAAAAGTGCCAAAAAAGGGTTGTGTCCTTAGGCAAGACACTTCAACTACATTAGAATGAGTCTGGTGTGTGTGTGAGTGGTTGGTGGTGGGAGGGGCTGATGGCACAGACTGGTGTGCCCCAGGGCAGATGCGGCTACACTAGTTTGCTATGAAAGAATAATGGCATGTGAAGCGTCTTTGAGCGTCCAGAAAAGCTCTGTATGAAACCAAACCATGATTATTATTACCTCTGCATCAGGACAAACTCAAAACATCAGAGAAGTTAAGTGATATTTATCTATATAGCGCATTTTCAGACCAAGGTCATGTAAAAAGCACTTAAAAAGTTTTAGGAGAATCAATATTTCCAAGTCTCTCCGTCCTCCTCCTTTCACCGTCCATTCACTCTGTCATCACTCACTGCCAAGGACACTAATACTGTAGAGAGCAGCTGCAGTGACAGACTGATGCACCCTCGCTGTGTGAAGAAGAGGCTCCCGTCGGCCTTTCCTTCCTGCTGCTGTCAGACTGTACAACGAGAACTGCCGAGCCTGTACACATACCATCTGTACTGGTAATTCATTAGTCACTTTACCTGCTGCTGCTATTGCTAGTATTTTTTTATTCTGGTTGTATTGTCTGCTGCTAAAGTACAAAATCTAATTATCAGTGAATGAGCGTGTCTGCTTAGGTTTCCTCCAGGTGCTCCGGTTAAAACGGAAATCATGTTAAATAGAAATGAATGTAAAGACAAAATATCCCCTCCGCGCCTCGGTATTCCCACAGATGAGCTGGAGGAAGTGTGTGGAGAGAGAAGTTGTGGCCGTCTCTGCATGGTCAGACTGCTGCCCCCGCAACCCGGCAACGGATGAAGCGGAAGAAAATGAACGAATAGAATCAAATCGAATCAAAGACAATTCAAACTCTCTCTCAGTCACTTTCAGGACCGGACAGCTCCTCAGACGGCTCCTCAGACAGACGGCTCCTAAGACAGACGGCTCCTCAGACAGACGGCGCCTCAGACAGACGGCTCCTCAGACAGACGGCTCCTCAGACAGACGGCTCCTCAGACAGACGGCTCCTCAGACAGACGGCTCCTCAGACAGACGGCTCCTCAGACAGACGGCTCCTAAGACAGACGGCTCCTCAGACAGACGGCTCCTCAGACAGACGGCTCCTCAGACAGACGGCTCCTCAGACAGATCCTCAGACAGATCCTCAGACAGCTCCTCAGATGACTCCTCAGACGGCCCCTCAGACAGCTCCTCAGACAGCTCCTCAGACAGCTCCTCAGACAGACGGCTCCTCTGACGGCTCCTCAGACAGACGGCTCCTCTGACGGCTCCGCAGACAGACGGCTCCTCAGACGGCTCCTCAGACAGACGGCTCTTCTGACGAAAAGAGCAGTTATGTGACTAATTGCAGGATGACAAAGAATCCCTTAGGTCTCGTTCTGATCCGAGTGTGTGGACCGAGATGGTTCTGGAGCTGGCAGCTGCGGTCCGGGCGCCGTACGTAGGTCTCGTTCTGATCCGAGTGTGTGGACCGAGATGGTTCTGGAGCTGGCAGCTGCGGCCCGGTCAGTGACATGAATGAGAATCAGCCTGAGCCTGCGTCATGTTTGACAATGAGGACCAGAGCGAGACCGGACTCATCCATAATTCCTCTGCTTTTATTGGACTTAAAGGCAGTTCAGAAACCTGCGTTCATAATTTACCAGGAGAGGAGACCAGGAGGAGACCAGGAGAGGAGACCAGGAGGAGAGCAGGAGGAAACCAGGAGGAGACCAAGGAGAGCAGGAGGAGAGCAGGAGGAGACCAGGAGAAAAGACCAGGAGGAGACCAGGGGGAGAGCAGGAGGAGACCAGGAGAGAAGACCAGGAGGAGACCAGGGGGAGAGCAGAAGAGGAGACCAGGAGAGGAGACCAGGAGGAGACCAGGAGGAGACCAGGAGGAGACCAGGAAGAGAGCAGAAGAGGAGACCAGAAGGAGACATGGAGAGAAGACCAGGAGGACACCAGGAGAGGAGAGCAGGAGGAGACCAGGAGCCCTGGTCTACAGCCTCAGTTCTGGGTCTACAGCCTCAGTCCTGGGTCTACAGCCTCAGTCCTGGGTCTACAGCCTCAGTCCTGGGTCTACAGCCTCAGTCCTGGGTCTACAGCCTCAGTCCTGGATCTACAGCCTCAGTCCTGGATCTACCGCCTCAGGGAACAGCTGTAAAGACCATGTAAAGACCATGTAACGACCGTGTTAATGGTTTTATGGTGTTTGTATCAGAAGGTTCTGTAACAAGATCATAAATCACTCTTGAGACGCCACAGACTCCACACCTGCCAGAAAAGGCTCCGTTAAGAGTGTGTGTGTCTATGTGTGTGTGTGTGCGTGTGACACTATGTGTGTGTCTATGTGTGTGTGTGTGTGTGTGACTATGTGTGTGTCTATGTGTGTGTGTGACTATGTGTGTGTCTATGTGTGTGTCTATGTATGTCAGTGTGTGTGTGTGTGAATGTATTTATGTGTGTGTGTATTCATTTGCTCCAAACACACTGCTGATAAACTACTACATTAGCCACAGCTGCCCTGGGGCACACTGACAGTTGCCCCTCTCTTCTGTGAGTGTGCCCCGGGGCAGCTGTGGCTACAGAAGCCTCCCACAGCCGCCTCAGACCAACAGTCTCACAGATGTTTTCCTCTGAGTGGATTTGACGGTTCAATTGCAGAAGTGTCAGTGTGGAGATATGAACTAACGCTAACGCAGCCGCTGGAGGTCAGACATGCGACATCACAAACACAGACATGTGACATCACAGACATGTGACATCACAGGCTGGGACAGGGTCAGGACTCAGGAAATTGAAATTGGAAAACGGAATTATTAAAAGTCAACGTTTATTTTTCTGGCAATTATGCAAACATTGAGCAGTTTACACACTGGAGCCAAAGACACACACACACACTCACAGACACACACACACACACACACACATACACACACAGACACACACACAGACACACACATACACAGAGACACAGACACACACACACACAGACACACAGACACACACACACACACACTCAGTTTTTTAGACTCTGTCACGTCTTTTTCAGACAGAAAAGTGAAAAGCAGAAGAACCCTCGCTCTCAGCCAATCAGCTCTCAGCCTGAAGAGTCAAATAGTGACTCACAGGGATCTTTTTTTGACTCTGATTTCTTCATACACATTGATCAAGTCTCTCCACAGCATTATTCACTCAAACACAGCTGAGATCAACTTCTGTAGCCACAGCTGCCCTGGGGCACACTGACAGAAGCAAGGCCACAACCACCACCAACCATTCATGCACACACCAGGCCTGTTCCAGCCGCAGCCGCCCCACTGTGGCCCTGCTCTGCTTAGCGTCAGAGGTCTGACCGGATCTGGCTTCAGTCTTCAGGACTCATTAGACCTCATCTTTAAGGTCAGATTTGAATACAGTCTAGTCCAGTTACAAGTACCTGGGTGTTCATCTGAACCACAAACTGGACTGGACTCAGAACACAGACGCCCTCTTCAAGAAGGGCCAGAGCCGGCTCTACCTACTGAGGAGGCTCCGGTCTTTTGGAGTGCAGGGGCCACTCCTGAAGACCTTCTATGACTCTGTGGTGGCATCAGCCTCTTGTACGGTGTGGTCTGCTGGAGCAGCAGCATCACAGAGAGGGAAGAAGCTGGAACATCAGGAAGTCCAGCTCAGTCCTGGGCTGTTCCCTGGACACAGTGCAGTAGGTGGGGGACAGGAGGGTCCTGAGCAAACTAACATATATGCTGGACCATGACTATCACCCCCTGCAGGACACTCTCTCTGCTCTGGAGAGCAGCTTCAGTGACAGACTAATTCACCCTCGCTGTGTGAAGGAGAGGTTCCGTAGGTCTTTCCTTCCTGCTGCTGTCAGACTGTACAACAAACAATAAGGACTAATAAACACTGCCAACTTGATTCCACGTGTCATACAGCTGCTAATGTACAGATGTAAACATACAGCTGCTAATGTACAGATGTAAACATACTGCTGCTAATGTACAGATGTAAACATACTGCTGCCAATGTACAGATGTAAACATACTGCTGCTAATGTACAGATGTAAACATACTGCTGCCAATGTACAGATGTAAACATACTGCTGCTAATGTACAGATGTAAACATACTGCTGCCAATGTACAGATGTAAACTTACTGCAGCTAATGTACAGATGCTAACATACTGCTGCTAATGTACAGATGTAAACATACTGCTGCTAATGTACAGATGTAAACATACTGCTGCTAATGTACAGATGTAAACATACTGCTGCTAATGTACAGATGTAAACATGCTGCTAATGTACAGATGTAAACATACTGCTGCTAGAGAAAGAGAGAGAGAGAGTAGAGAGAGAGAGAGAGATAGAGAGAGAGAGATAAAAATAGAGAGAGAGAGAGAGAGAGAGAGAGAGAGTAGAGAGAGTAGAGAGAGAGAGAGAGAGAGAGAGAGAGAGTAGAGAGAGAGAGAGATACAGAGAGAGATAGAGAGAGAGAGAGATAGAGGGAGAGGGAGATAGAGAGAGAGAGAGAGATACAGAGAGAGATACAGAGAGAGATAGAGAGTAGAGAGAGTAGAGAGAGATAGAGAGATAGAGAGAGATAGAGAGAGTAGAGAGAGATAGAGATACAGAGAGAGATAGAGAGAGATAAAGAGAGATAGAGATAGAGATAGAGAGAGATAGAGAGAGATAGAGAGAGAGATGGAGAGAGATATAGAGGGATTGAGAGAGTAGAGAGGGAGAGAGAGATAGAGATAGAGAGAGATAGAGAAAGAGAGTAGAGAGGGAGAGAGAGATAGAGAGAGAGAGAGTAGAGAGGGAGAGAGAGATAGAGAGAGAGATAGAAAGACTGGGAAAGTGAAAGTAATTTATTGAATTAAAACTTGTTTCTTCTTTGAACCAATGATTCTATGAGTTTGTATTTGTCGTTTCTTTGATAGCGACAGTAGCTCAGTTGGTAGAGCATTGGCCTTAAGCCCAGAAGGTCGTGGGTTCAATTCCCACCTCTGCACCTTCTCCATCAACTCCCACTGATGACTGCTGTCGTTGTGTCCTTGGGCAAGACACTTAACCCCACTTTGCCCAAAGCCCCCACTGAAAGATCAAGGCTATGCTCACTCTCAGAGAGCAGCCGTCCTCCTGTGGACTCACCACCTGCAGAGGGTCAGTGAGGGGCTGGTGCTATGAGACTTGGGTGGCATCTCTGATTGCCACCCCCCTGACCCAGAAATGGATTAAAGGGTAGAAAATGGATGGATGGATGGGTTTCTTTGATCTTTTTCTAGAACCTTCTGTGGTTAAACGTCCGACTCTGACTATGAATTCAAACAAAATGTGTGCATGTGGAAGAGATATTTGGATGATGTATTTTGCTTATTCAAGGGTACAAAAACAAGACTTGAAGCGTTTTTTACATATTTGAACTCCTGCTGCTCATTTATATCATTCTCCATGGACTTTGATCAAGCGCACTTGAGTTTTCTGGATTTATGGATTATTAGAGGGGAGAATCAGTTGTATACGGACTTATACAAAAAGCCTACAGCAAGAAACTCATTACTTAGAGCCGACTCCAACCATCCACTTCCACTGAAAAATAGTCTCCCATACAGCCAATTTTGTACGGCTTAGGAGAATATGCCACAATAATGAAGACTTTGAAAGAAATCTAGCAACAATTTCTAACATCCCCACACTGGTAAAGTTTAACCCCAAAGAATGATTTCGCGGGTTCCGGCAATACAAAATCTGTATATGTACATGATCACGGGGGGTTGTCCTTGTGGAGGTAGGGGGGGGGGGGGCCAGCGGATGTAGTAACAACCAGCAGGGTTTTAAAAAACACTATTGCAGAACATAGAAGCACTATCTATATGCAAAAACTTAAATTACCCTGTTAGCAGCTCATTTATAGAATTCCATCATCCAATCTCTTCATTAAGATATATTGGTATTGAACATGTAACGCTACCACCCGAGAGGTGGAAACACACGAAGTGCTTTTTTGTCTAAAAGAGAGCACTTTTGGATCCATCACTTAAAGACTTTAGCTCCTTATGGACTAAATGTGGACATGACCTCATATGTTTCTTATGATTATCTGTACATTTTATAAGTTGATTTCTTCTATGTATTAAAATTTCTGCTTTTTGATTTAGACTGGCTGAATTCACTGGGTGTCACACACACGGGACCTTCCACTCGTTAGAAGGGTTATATACCACCTGGGTTGGCAACAATTTTGTATATTGTGATCCAAATGAATAAGATAAAAATGATCTGACGAAGGCTAAGGCCGAAACGTAATAAATACTAGATCTTTTGGACATCTATCCGAGTGTTCTGTGTATTTTCCAATACATTTAATTTCTGCTCCAGCACATGCACCTCATGAGAAGAACTTGGTGTGCGTTTTTGTTTTTCTAGTTTCATTAAACGTCCGACTCAAACACATGTGTTTTAAATCTCCTGAACATCGTCTCAGGTTCACGTCTCGCTCTGACCCGGTTCTATTCATATCTCGTCTGCTCCGTCATCTCGGATCTCGCACATCCACAGAATCTGTCAGAGAAACACTTTGGGTTTGTTTCTGTCGAGAGACGAGAAAGTTGAACTAAACAGGTCACGTCACACCAGCAACAACACCAGCAACAACACCAGGAACAATATGTGTGTGTGTGTGTGTGTGTGTGTTGAAGCCCTGTTGGTGTGTGTTTGTTAATGTCCTACATAAGTGTGTTAGTGACAATGTCCTGTGTGTGTGTTGTTGTCCTATGTCTGTGTGTGTCTGTGTCTATGTGTGTGTGTGTGTGTGTGTCTGCGTGTCTGTGTGTGTATGCATGCCTGTGTGTGTGCGTGTCTGTGTGTATACATGCCTGTTTGTCTGTGTGTCTCTCTGTGTGTGTGTGCATACCTGTGTGTGTGTGTGTGTGTGTGTGCGTGTCTGTTTGTCTGCGTGTCTCTCTGTGTGTGTGTGCATGCCTGTGTTTGTGTGTGTGTGTGTGTCTCTGGTTACACAAAAAAGAAGCTAACATTACCACAACACTGCCCAAACCTGTGTTAAACATTCCTTGTTTATGTCCTCTTGGCATCACTTCCTTAAACCTATTGTAACTACACACACACAGACACACACACACAGACACACACAGACACCCACACACAGGAATAAGACGGCACAGACAGGTAATCCGGGATTATCGCAGCGACATGTCATTTCTGGTGGCGTCCGAGGCTCTTTGTGAGTGAGAGCCCATCTGTCTGCAGAGGACTCTCCTCCGTGGACCGGCATAGACCATCCCATAATGAGCTCCCGTTGCCGTGTCAACGCCGCCTCTCGATCCCCGATCTCGCTCCGAGTCTCCGAGCTTCAGTAAACAGAATATGGAGACCGGAGATGGAAAAGAAGATTGCTGCAAATCCACAGTAAATGGGAACGTCCATCAGCGAGCGGAAGCCTTTAAGTCCAGAGACGTAACCGCGGCAACCGAGATAAACGAGATAACGGACAGGTAACCGAAATAACAGAGATAACAGAAGGGTAACCAAGATAACAGAGATAACAGAGGGGTAACCAAGATAACAGAGATAACGGAGAGGTAACCGAGATAACAGAGATAACAGAGGGGTAACCGAGATAACAGAGATAACGGAGAGGTAAACGAGATAAGAGATAAACGAGATAACAGAGATAACAGAGATAAACGAGATAACATAGATAACAGAGATAACAGAGATAAACGAGTTAAGAGATAAACGAGATAACAGAGATAACAGAAATAAACGAGATCACAGAGATAAACGAGATCACAGAGATAAATGAGATCACAGAGATAAACGACATAACAGTGATAACAGAAATAAACGAGATCACAGAGATAAACGAGATAACAGAGATAACAGAGATAAACGAGATAACATAGATAACAGAGATAACAGAGATAAACGAGTTAAGAGATAAACGAGATAACAGAGATAACAGAAATAAACGAGATCACAGAGATAAACGAGATAAGAGATAAATGAGATCACAGAGATAAACGACATAACAGTGATAACAGAAATAAACGAGATCACAGAGATAAACGAGATAACAGAGATAACAGAGATAAACGAGATAACATAGATAACAGAGATAACAGAGATAAACGAGTTAAGAGATAAACGAGATAACAGAGATAACAGAAATAAACGAGATCACAGAGATAAACGAGATAAGAGATAAATGAGATCACAGAGATAAACGACATAACAGAGATAACAGAAATAAACGAGATCACAGAGATAAACGAGATAACAGAGATAACAGAGATAAATGAGATAACAGAGATAAACGAGATAACAGAGATAAACGAGATAACAGAGATAAACGAGAAAACTGAGATAACCGAGATAACAGAGATAAACGAGATCACAAAGATAACAGAGATAAACGAGATAAATGAGATAACAGAGATAAAGGAGATAACAGAGATAAACGAGAAAACTGAGATAAACGAGATAACAGAGATAAACGAGAAAACAGAGATAACAGAGAGAGAGATTGGGCCAAATGTAAAGGCTAAAGCCCCGTTTCCTCGGAGACGCTGAGACAGTAAAACTGAGATTATCTCGGATTGGCCTCTCGTTCACACGGAGACAGTGTTTTACGAGACTCAAGAGCGGAACAGAACAGAGATGCTGCAGCAGAAGAAACATGTGAGCAGCGAGGACTCCACCACTTCCCCGTCATGCGCAGTGGAACGACAACAACAATGGCGGCGGATAATGCTATGTGTGCTAGCGATAGGCTTCCAAACCCTGCTGTGATACAAAATGTAAAACAGATTCAATAAAAGAATGATAAAAAAGTCATCATTTCTGACGACACATTAAAAGTGTTCATGCGCCAAAGAAAGGTGCTGCTCCATGGTCCTGCTCCATGGTCCTGCTCCATGGTCCTGCTCCATTGTCCTGCTCCATGGTCCTGCTCCATGGTCCTGCTCCATGGTCCTTCTCCATGGTCCTGCTCCATGGTCCTGCTCCTCCCCAGAGAGCAGGCTGACAATGATTGAATCGTCTGTCCTGGTGCAGACTTGGACACTGGTCTGTGTACAGTGTAGAGGAGTGGAGACAGGCAGCAACCATGTGGAGAACCTCTGACATGGTGCCGTTGACCCTAACACACTGTGACCGAGGTGTAAGAAGTCCAACAACCATCCAACCAAACTAAGATCAAGATTAAAATCTGAGATCAGTCTCTGCGTGTCGCCGCAGAACAGCGCCAATTTATATCTGTAATCCCCCGACAGAAAGAACACTCCGTACAGGAGGCTTTAAACACAGGACGTCATGATTTCAGTGTTGGAATGAACCAAATACTAAATACCATTCTGTACTGGTGAGTAACAGTACTGTATGTATTACATGTACTGTATGTACTATAGTACATACAGTACATGTAATACATACAGTACATGTAATACTATAGTACATACAGTACATGCAATACTATAGTACATACAGTACATGTAGTACTATAGTACATACAGTACATGTAATACTATAGTACATACAGTACATGTAGTACTATAGTACATACAGTACATGTAGTACATTCAGTACATGTAGTACTATAGTACATACAGTACATGTAGTACTATAGTACATACAGTACATGTAGTACTATAGTACATACAGTACATGCAGTACTATAGTACATTGTGTAGAAGTATAAACTTCATATTGGACCAAACCAAAGCAGCAGATCTTCAGGGTCCAGGACTGAACATGGACAAGGATTTAAAGCTGCAGTACCTAACTTTGAAGCTACACAAAATAGTTTGGGAAAAGATTCTAAGATAACTTTCTCAGAGTTAAGTTGTGAAATGAACAATAAACTCTGTGTTGGACCAAACCAAAAGCACGAGACTATCAGAAAGAATCCAGGATTTACACGAGAAAGACCAGACCAGACCGGACCAGACCAGACCAGACTCAACTGGGACCAACCAGAAGCAAACAGAGAGAGGACAAAACCTCCTCAGAGTCCCAGCAGGAGGCCAGTCCCTATGCTCCTCAGAGTCCCAGTAGGAGGCCAGTCCCTATGCTCCTCAGAGTCCCAGTAGGAGGCCAGTCCCTGTGCTCCTCAGAGTCCCAGCAGGAGGCCAGTCCCTGTGCGCCTCAGAGTCCCAGCAGGAGGCCAGTCCCTATGCTCCTCAGAGTCCCAGCAGGAGGCCAGTCCCTGTGCTCCTCAGAGTCCCAGCAGGAGGCCAGTCCCTGTGCTCCTCAGAGTCCCAGCAGGAGGCCAGTCCCTGTGCTCCTCAGAGTCCCGGCAGGAGGCCAGTCCCTGTGCTCCTCAGAGTCCCAGCAGGAGGCCAGTCCCTGTGCTCCTCAGAGTCCCAGCAGGAGGCCAGTCCCTGTGCTCCTCAGAGTCCCAGCAGGAGACCAATCCTTGTGCCCCTCAGAGTCCCAGCAGGAGGCCAGTCCCTGTGCTCCTCAGAGTCCCAGCAGGAGGCCAGTCCCTATGCTCCTCAGAGTCCCGGCAGGAGGCCAGTCCTTGTGCTCCTCAGAGTCCCAGCATGAGGCCAGTCCCTGTGCTCCTCAGAGTCCCAGCAGGAGGCCAGTCCCTGTGCTCCTCAGAGTCCCAGCAGGAGACTTTCTGCAGGTTTTAAATGAATCTAACTTTCAAAGAGAAAACTTCAGAATATTTCAATAAAATAGAATTTCACAACTTTGCAAAAACGATCGCTCACTTACACTTTCCTCGACCGTGGCCTTTCCCAGTGTCACATAACTCCTGTGTCCGTGTGCGTCCGTGTTGTTGTCTGTGTGCGTCGTTGTGTGTCGTTGTGTGTTGTTGTGTGTCCGGCAGAGGTGTGTGTCGTTGTGTGTGTTGTGTGTCCGGCAGAGGTGTGTGTCGTTGTGTGTGTTGTGTGTCTGGCAGAGGTGTGTGTCGTTGAGTGTCAGCAGCTGATTTGTGAGCACAGGGACACATTATCTCCACAGTGATCAGAGCTTCCTGTCGAGCGGCATTCTCCTCATCTCTGTCTCAGCTGTCACTGAGCGAGCAACAACACAGTCTGAGAGAGGGGGAGGATGTTGCAACGTAAAGGAAGTGCCCGCACAGGACTGGGCACATACTGCTCCTACATGGAAAGTTGGAAATTCACAGTTTTCAGTCTGGAAAGATCCAGACTGAGACTTCTGCTCCTAATAATAATAATAATAATAATAATAATAATAATAAGAATAATAATAATAATAATAATAATGATAATAATAATAATAATAATAATAAGTTATGATGAAACTTGTTCTCGGTTCATTTTTGCACCAATCGTTCAAACAGTTTCCTGATTCACAGCGACCCAAACCTCTCTGACCCCCCCCCCCTCTGTGTGTCACAGATGTATTCACCTTCTCACGTCTCTCTCCTCTCTCTCTCTCACCTCTCTCTTTCCTCTGCTCTTTCTCTCTCTCACCTCTCTCTCTCCTCTCTCTCTCTCTTACCTCTCTCTTTCTGTGTGTTAATCCCTAATTTATTCACCTCATCACGTCTCTCTCTCTCTCTCCCTCTCAGGGGTTTCTCTCTCTCTCTCTCCCTCCCTCCCTCAGGGGTTTCTCTCTCTCCCTCCCTTCCTCAGGTTTCTCTCTCTCTTCTTGCGTTGTCTTCAGTTCCTTCTTTATTGTGACGTGTTTCCAAACCGTGGCCTCAGGTTTGATATGATCCAGTTCTTCTCTCTCTGCCAACTTCTGCCAAAGTTTACACAAGCTAATATCTCTCTCTCTCCCTCCTTCTCTCTCTCTCTACCCCTCCCCCCTTCTCTCTCACACTCTCACTCCCTCACTGTATCTCGCTCTCTCCCCTGCTCTCTTTCTCCCTCTCTCTCTCACACTCTCTTGGTCTCTCTCTCTCTCGTACACCATGTCTCTCGCTCTACGCTCACTGCCAAGTTCTACCACTAAGTTTAGACCAGCTAACATAAATATATATCTCTCCCCCTCTCCCCCCCCCCTCTCTCCCTCTCCCCCTCCCTGCAAAGCTGAACGGTTGTTTGTGTAAAAATGAGGAGATCTCGTCCCAAACGCAGCTGATAAAACAGAACCTTAAACGACCGCGGCTGGAGTTGGAGAAGTCGTGTAAATGAGATTGTTTTCAGAGACCGGCCTCTCACCCACTAAAGGAGGGAGGTGGAGGGAGGTGGAGGGAGGTGGGGGGAGGTGGGGGGAGGTGGGGGGAGGCGGCGGGAGGAGAGGGAGGTTTGCGGAGCTCACACAGATAACATTGACCCTCCTTCTTCGCAAATACTTATTAAAAAACCATTTGAATCCATTTTGCATTCCATTACTGCGGCCGCACACACGTCGCTCATGGGTGATGCTAATGTCAAGTACTTTAGAGAATGGCTGCCAGATGGAGGATGTGGGGCTGATGCGGCTGCTGCGGCGCCAGGAACGATTACATGTCAATAATTAAAGCCTGATCAACACTTTGCACCGAGAGGACGAGGGTTTGTGAGGGATTTAATTCACCTGGAGGTCGGTACTACAGTGCCTTGCGAAAGTATTCGGCCCCCTTGAACCTTTCAACATTTCGCCACATTTCAGGCTTCAAACATAAAGATAAACAATTTTAATTTTTTGTCATCAATCAACAACAGGTGGGACACAATCGTGAAGTGGAACGAAATTTATTGGATGATTTAAACTTTTTTAACAAATAAAAAACTGAAAAGTGGGGCATGCAATATTATTCGGCCCCTTTACTTTCATGCAGCAAACTCAGTCCAGAAGTTCAGTGAGGATCTTTGAATGATCCAATGTTGTCCTAAATGACTGATGATGATAAATAGAATGCACCTGTGTGTAATCAAGTCTCCGTATAAATGCACCTGCTCTTTGATAGTCTCAGGGTTCTGTTTAAAGCGCAGAGAGAACCATGAAGACAAAGGAACACACCAGGCAGGTCCGAGATACTGTTGTGGAGAAGTTTAAAGCCGGATTTGGATACAAAAAGATTTCCCAAGCTTTAAAGACCTTATGCCGGGTTTGATTTATTTAGAAATACAGTTTTAATACCATTTTATATTAGAAGAGAACTACTAAAGGTTTCAAAATCAGTTGTTGTTTTTTTTGTCTGATCCCCCCAAATCAAAATAACCCCATAGCAACGCCCTTAGAAACGAAAAAACTTCACAGCCCGTCAGAACGGGTACGTTTCAACGCTGTAAGTTGTTTACAATTTGGTATTTGTTCTTTTTTCGCGGATATTCAAGATGACAAGGCCGTGTACAGCGAGTCTAAAATAACTACTAGAAAGTAACATTTTGTTGTCACTGAGATAGTCCAGTGGTTGTGTCGATGGACTGCCAATCCAGATACTTGGGTTCAAATCCCACCTTGGACACTTTTTCACACTCAAAACGGCAATTTATGTGTAGTGAGCAATTGTCACCTGTAGAGTGCAGTATTGTGTTGGGCATCAGTGGAGAGAAGAGAGAAAAGGCAGTCCTGTGGCATAGATCCATGGTTTTCAATGCATGGGCGTAACCCGCTGTGACGTCACACACAGGTTAGAGCATAGACAGCTTAAATTCATGAAAAACACGTTCTTTTTATAAAATGTAGGATTTTTTTTGCCGGAATCTCTTTCAAATTGACATTGTCATGCAATTTTGATATCCACTATTTTTTTTTTAAAAACCCATCATAAGGTCTTTAAACATCTCAAGGAGCACTGTGCAAGCAATTATATTGAAATGGAAGGAGTATCAGACCACTGCAAATCTATCAAGACCCGGCCGTCCCTCCAAACTTTCATCTCAAACAAAGAGAAGACTGATCAGAGATGCAGCCAAGAGGCCCATGATCACTCTGGATGAACTGCAGATAACTACAGCTGAGGTGGGAGAGTCTGTCCATAGGACAACAATCAGTCGTGCACTGCACAAATCTGGCCTTTATGGAAGAGTGGCAAGAAGAAAGCCATTTCTCAACGATATCCATAAGAAGTCTTGCTTAAAGTTTGCCACAAGCCACCTGGGAGACACACCAAACATGTGGAAGAAGGTGCTCTGGTCAGATGAAACCAAAATCGAACTTTTTGGCCACAATGCAAAACGATATGTTTGGCGTAAAAGCAACACAGCTCATCACCCTGAACACACCATCCCCACTGTCAAACATGGTGGTGGCAGCATCATGGTTTGGGCCTGCTTTTCTTCAGCAGGGACAGGGAAGATGGCTAACATTGATGGGAAGATGGATGGAGCCAAATACAGGACCATTCTGGAAGAAAACCTGTTGGAGTCTGCAAAAGACCTGAGACTGGGACGGAGATTTATCTTCCAACAGGACAATGATCCAAAACATAAAGCCAAATCTACAATGGAATGGTTCACAAATAGACGTATCCAGGTGTTAGAATGGCCAAGTCAAAGTCCAGACCTGAATCCAATCGAGAATCTGTGGAAAGAGCTGAAGACTGCTGTTCACAGACGCTCTCCATCCAACCTCACTGAGCTCGAGCTGTTTTGCAAGGAAGAATGGGAAAGAATTCCAGTCTCTCGATGTGCAAAACTGATAGAGACATGTCCCAAGTGACTTGCAGCTGTATTTGCAGCAAAAGGTGGCGCTACAAAGTATTAGCGCAAGGGGCCGAATAATATTGCACACCCCACTTTTCAGTTTTTTATTTGTTAAAAAAGTTTAAATTATCCAATAAATGTTGTTCCACTTCACGATTGTGTCCCACTTGTTGTTGATTCTTGACAAAAAATGTAATTTTTATATCTTTATGTTTGAAGCCTGAAATGTGGCAAAATGTTGAAAGGTTCAAGGGGGCCGAATACTTTCGCAAGGCACTGTATGTAGGACTGACCAGAGGGAGACCAGAGGGAGACCAGAGAGAGACCAGAGAGAGACCAGAGAGAGACCAGAGAGAGACCAGAGCGAGAGACCAGAGAGAGACCAGAGAGAGACCAGAGAGAGACCTGAGAGAGACCAGAGCGAGAGACCAGAGAGAGACCAGAGAGAGACCACAGAGAGACCTGAGAGAGACCAGAGAGAGACCAGAGAGAGACCAGAGAGAGACCTGAGAGAGACCTGAGAGAGACCAGAGAGAGACCAGAGAGAGACCAGAGAGAGACCAGAGAGAGACCAGAGAGAGACCAGAGAGAGACCTGAGAGAGACCAGAGAGAGACCTGAGAGAGACCGTGGAGAGACCAGAGAGGAGAAAGAACCCAGAAAGAGACCAGCTGGCTCGGTGAAGAGTAAAGTTTTGGCTTCTCCACAAAATCAACCCAGATGTTAGAGAACAACGCGACAGACAATCACTGCGAGACTCAGAGTGGGACTCAGCCTCCTCCTCCTCCTCCTCCTCCTCCTCCTCCTTCTCCTCCGCTGCTGCCAACATCTCCATTCAGGACTTTCCAGGTTCTGAGCGGCCATTTGTGAGTCTGACCCGTGTCCACGCCACAGGGATCAATCAGGGGCCTTCATCCTCCTCCTCCTCCTCCTCCTGTCCCCCCTCCTCCTCCTCCTCTTCAGAACCACAGGAGAAGTGCAGTGAATAATGGATCTCAGTGAGAACCAGATGCAGGACTTTGGAGGAGCCTGGATCAAAGACACATCCATTATTCAGGCTCCAGGTGAGGACCGGTTTGTTCATATTGATGCTTCAGGAATAGAAATCCAAGATGGCGTCGATGTGAGTCTGGTTCACTGAAAGAGGAGAGCGGTCTGGCCTCATGGGTCCTGGTCCTTCTTGTTACCTAAACCTTGTTGACAAAACCCTCGAGTGAAAAATACTTGGTGCCACTCTCAGCAAAGTCTGCTCCTTTTCTTCATTTTTATGTCCCACATCCTCGAAAAGAATTGCTCACAAAGATATGTTGTAGCAAATGGGATGAAGAAATCCAGGGCTGTCTCAGCATTAACTGGACACATGAGGCTCTGCAGAGCTGTTTCAACTGCACTGAGCCAATGAAGCGCTTCGACTCACACTGACACGTGTGTTACGGCTGTTTGGACACACACAACACAGTGTTACAAATCAGTCTGCTTCAGGAAAAGCAACACAATCTCCAGAACGTCGGGATTGTTTGTCTGTCACTAGATCATTAAAGTGTGTTCATACCTCTGCAGCACAGGTCAAGAACCACTGATCTAGACTCTCTCTGGTCTCTCTCTGGTATCTCTCTGGTCTCTCTCTGGTCTATCTCTGGTCTATCTCTGGTCTATCTCTGGTCTATCTCTGGTCTCTCTCTAGTCTCTCTCTGGTCTCTTTCTGGTCTCTCTCTGGTCTCTCTCTGGTCTCTCTCTAGTCTCTCTCTAGTCTCTTTCTGGTCTCTCTCTGGTCTCTCTCTTGTCTCTCTCTTGTCTCTCTCTTGTCTCTCTCTGGTCTCTCTCTGGTCTCTCTCTGGTCTCTCTCTGGTCTCTCTCTGGCCTCTCTCTGGCCTCTCTCTGGTCTCTCTCTGGTCTCTCTCTGGTCTCTCTCTGGTCTCTCTCTGGTCTCACTCTGGTCTCACTCTGGTCTCTTTCTGGTCTCTTTCTGGTCTCTTTCTGGTCTCTTTCTGGTCTCTCTCTTGTCTCTCTCTAGTCTCTCTCTTGTCTCTCTCTGGTCTCTCTCTGGTCTCTCTCTTGTCTCTCTCTAGTCTCTCTCTTGTCTCTCTCTGGTCTCTCTCTGGTCTCTCTCTGGTCTCTCTCTGGTCTCTCTCTGGTCTCTTTCTGGTCTCTTTCTGGTCTCTTTCTGGTCTCTCTCTAGTCTCTCTCTAGTCTCTCTCTCGTCTCTCTCTCTTTCAAGGCACAGGCCATTGATTTGAATGGGCAGACATCTTGGAGAGACCAGGGGCAGACATCTTGGAAACCCAGCCTGGTGTGTATTAAGTCCTTACTGACCAGTCCTTGATTATTCATTCCTTTACAATGTGTCAGTGTGAAATACAGTATTATGTGATGACCTGAGCCTCACTCACTTCCCGATCTTCTCGTTGAGTGAAATCGCTCGAGGAAAATCTGTTTACAGCCGTCACAACAATCGGCAATCACCAAACGCCTCCACAACTGCACTCTATTGTCGTCATTAGCGCAGGAGAAAACCAATTACAGAGAATCAAAGAGCGGAGAGCAAGAGTATGAGGAGCAGACGAACATGTAAACAACGAGCGAGACAAGTTTCTATATTAGCGACATCACATCTGAAACTAGACGGAACCGGTTTGAACCATCTCTGTGGAGGCAGTAAAACCACATTGGAATACATGCGCAAGAGTCCCAGGTGTGCAGCAGACTAAACCAGTCAACAAAAACAGCTTCAAAACAAGATCATAGAACAGCTGAAAGAAGCTGTTAGCATGTCCTGCATCTCAGCCAACAATTCTGCAAAAGGGAAGAAGCTGGAACATAGCTTTTCCAGGAGCCAGAAGAGGCATTGATGATTAGAAGAGACTGGATTCATAAAGAACTCTGGTCTCTCTCTGGTCTCTCTCTGGTCTCTCTCTGGTCTCTCTCTGTTCTCTCTCTGGTCTCTCTCTGGTCTCTTTCTCTGGTCTTTCTCTGGTCTCTTTCTCTGGTCTTTCTCTGGTCTCTTTCTCTGGTCTCTCTCTGGTCTCTTTCTGGTCTCTCTCTGGTCTCTCTCTGGTCTCTCTCTGGTCTCTCTCTGGTCTCTCTCTGGTCTCTCTCTGGTCTCTCTCTGGTCTCTCTCTGGTCTCTTTCTCTGGTCTTTCTCTGGTCTCTTTCTCTGGTCTTTCTCTGGTCTCTTTCTATGGTCTCTCTCTGGTCTCTTTCTGGTCTCTCTCTGGTCTCTCGATGGTCTCTCAATGGTCTCTCTCTGGTCTCTTTCCCTGGTCTTTCTCTGGTCTATTCCTCTGGTCTCTCCCTGGTCTCCCTCTGGTCTCTCGATGGTCTCTCCCTGGTCTCTCCCTGGTCTCCCTCTGGTCTCTCTCTCTCTGGTCCTACAGCAGAATGTAAATGGACTGTGTTGCCAGATTGGGAACCATAAACCAGCAGCATGTTTCTCACATGAAGCACCATGTGTCGTCTCAGATCAAACCAACACATTCAGACTCAGACCTGCAGCTCCGTACCTTAGAGAACTAGTCCAGGAAGTCCAGAGACCGGGGTCTTGGAGACGTTAATCCTCTGAGTTCTGAATCCAGAGACGACCTGAGAAAACAAAACACAACATTTATTATTGAGGATCACATTAGTCCTGGTTTCAGGTCTCTCACAGGGACTGGCCTCCTGCTGGGACTCTGAGGAGCACAGGGACTGGCCTCCTGCTGGGACTCTGAGGAGCACAGGGACTGGCCTCCTGCTGGGACTCTGAGGAGCACAGGGACTGGCCTCCTGCTGGTCCCAGAGTCAGGACTAAACACAGGGAGGCTGTATTTCAGAGTCATGCAGCTGAAACCTAGAGCAGTCTTCCTGAAGATGTGAGACAGACTCTTTGACCACAGCTGAAGGATTTTATCTTTAGTCTTTCTAACGTCCTGTGGTTTTGAGTTTCCTTCTGAATGAACTGTTCCAAACAAATAAACCCTCCTTTGCCTAACGACTAATCACCATCAGGTTCTCAGGCCCTGATGCTGCTGTTGCTATGCAGCGAGCCGGCTCCGTTGCCATGACGAAGCAGGACATATGACGGAATAATGGTGCGATTGACCAGAGGTACAGACACAGGTACAGACAGAGGTACAGACAGAGGTACAGACAGAGGTTAAGACACAGGTACAGACAGAGGTACAGACACAGGTACAGACAGAGGTACAGACAGAGGTACAGACACAGGTACAGACAGAGGTACAGACAGAGGTACAGACACAGGTACAGACAGAGGTACAGACACAGGTACAGACACAGGTACAGACAGAGGTACAGAAAGAGGTACAGACAGAGGTACAGACACAGGTACAGACAGAGGTACAGACAGAGGTACAGACAGAGGTATAGACAGAGGTACAGACAGAGGTACAGACAGAGGTACAGACACAGGTACAGACAGAGGTACAGAAAGAGGTACAGACAGAGGTACAGACACAGGTACAGACAGAGGTACAGACAGAGGTACAGACAGAGGTATAGACAGAGGTACAGACAGAGGTACAGACAGAGGTACAGACAGAGGTACAGACAGAGGTACAGACACAGGTACAGACAGAGGTACAGACACAGGTACAGACAGAGGTAGAGACACAGGTACAGACACAGGTACAGACACAGGTACAGACGGAGGTACAGACAGAGGTACAGACACAGGTACAGGGCGTCAGGAGCAGATGGTGAAGGATACACAACCAGACACACAACCAGAGACACACAACCAGAGGAGATACACAACCAGACGCAAAACCAGAAACACAACCAGAGACACACAACATCAGGAGAATCTACACCCTGCTTTTATACAAACGAATCAAATCTCTCTCTGGTCTCTCAGGTCTCTCTCTCTGATCTCTCTCTCAGGTCTCTCTCTCTTGTTTCTCTCTGGACTGATCTACAGCCTCAGTCCTGGGTCTACAGCCTCAGTCCTGGGTTTACAGCCTCAGTCCTGGGTCTACAGCCTCAGTCCTGGGTCTACAGCCTCAGTCCTGGATCTACAGCCTCAGTCCTGGATCTACAGCCTCAGTCCTGGGTCTACAGCCTCAGTCCTGGGTCTACAGCCTCAGTCCTGGGTCTACAGCCTCAGTCCTGGATCTACAGCCTCAGTCCTGGGTCTACAGCCTCAGTCCTGGGTTTACAGCCTCAGTCCTGGGTCTACAGCCTCAGTCCTGGGTCTACACTGGTCTCAGTCCTGGGTCTACAGCCTCAGTCCTGGGTCTACAGCCTCAGTCCTGGGTCTACAGCCTCAGTCCTGGATCTACAGCCTCAGTCCTGGGTCTACAGCCTCAGTCCTGGGTCTACAGCCTCAGTCCTGGGTCTACAGCCTCAGTCCTGGATCTACAGCCTCAGTCCTGGATCTACAGCCTCAGTCCTGGGTCTACAGCCTCAGTCCTGGGTCTACAGCCTCAGTCCTGGGTCTACAGCCTCAGTCCTGGGTCTACAGCCTCAGTCCTGGGTCTACAGCCTCAGTCCTGGATCTACAGCCTCAGTCCTGGGTCTACAGCCTCAGTCCTGGGTCTACAGCCTCAGTATAATAACATTGGTCTTAATGTCAAACAGATTAAATATGTATTAAAAAGAAATATCAGAAGATTCTGTTCGGCCTTTACAAAAAAATCAATAAATGTTTCATAAAAACAGATAAAACGGGAAACAGACAGAACCTGATCGTCAGTCCTGGTTTAGTCCTGGTTTAGTCCTGGTTTAGTCCTGTTTTAGTCCTGGTTTAGACCTGATTGAGTCCGAGTTTAGTCCTGGTTAAACCTTTGTTTAGTCAGAGTTTAGTCCTGGCGTAGTCCAAGTTGAATCCTGGTTTAGCCCTGGATTCAACCAGAGACCAGAGAGAGACCAGAGAGAGAGACCAGTAAGAGACCAGAGAGAGACCAGAGAGAGACCAGAGAGAGACCAGAGAGAGAGAGACCAGTAAGTGACCAGAGAGAGACCAAAGAAAGACCAGAGAGAGACCAGAGAGAAA